TATCATTTATCATTATAACCCTTTAAGGACAAAGCGGACACATAAGTAAGCCCCTCCAGCACACCACAGGCAATGTTGCGGCACATTTCAAACTATCATACATACACTAATCTGAAACATGATATTAGCTCAGTATTTCATAGTGTGCGCGTTGTTATCTGAACCTGCCTTTTTAAGCTCCGGATCAATACAATCAGAAACAGAACTCTAAAATGTGAACGTGTAACGAAGCCTTTTTCTTTTTCTCTCTCTCTCTTTATTATTTTGTTGTTGTTGTAAAGTGCCAAAAAGCAGCGCGTCTTCAAGCACAGTCAAAACACTAGAAGCATCATCCCCCTCTGTGAGCAGACATTTATATGTTCTTCTCTTTGAAGTAGTCATTAATTTCACAAAATAAATCACAAAGTTGATTCAAAAAATTACTTATCCACATAAAAAAATACTCCTAATTTCCCTCAGAATAAATTAATACAAATCACAAAACCACGCCACATTTATATTCTAAACCACAGAAAGAATAATACAAAACCCTAAACAATTTAAAAAATAACAATGATGAACCCCCCCGAAAAAAAAAACCCCCTTAAAATATGTGAAGCAAGTAAAAAGAATGTATATATTACGGTTATTGTGTGTATAGGAAATATACGTAATGTGTGTGGCAAAGGTAAGAAGGGAATACAGGACGCTTGTGAGTGCGGTAAAGGGGTGAACCAAAATGTTACGTAGACAGAGAGATTGATTGACTGACTGAGTAGGTGTTTTACGCCAGTATCGACCTGATTTTGGTCATGTAAGTAAGTGCCAACAAGTTTTATAATAACAGATCTATCACCGACAGACATTTTTAGAAATCTTTATAATGGGTCGCTTTTAAGGACAAGTAGGCTAACCTAGATTTCGGGGGTTTCCAGAAAACTTCACTTACACCAAAAGTGGGCATTGTCCTACCTATAGGAGAAGTCTGGTTACATTGGTGTGTATATTTGTTTGGTTATAGAGAAAACTCTCCTTGTCTTTTAAAGAAACTGAACAAGGGACAAAAATTTTACCTTCGATTTTCTCAAAACAGCATTTTTCGGGATAGTCCGCTTGTACTTAAAAGCGACCAAATATGGTAAAGACAGAGAGAGAGAGGGAGAGAGAGAGAGAGAGAGAGAGAGAGAGAAATTATCCAAAGTACAATACAGCCCCCACACCAGTACCAGAACCGACTAGGTATTATATATATATATATATATTAATTAATATACAACAAAACAGACAGGTGCGAACAAAATACAGACACAGGTAGATAGAAGCTTAAGGGGGTAACATGGTGGAAGACCAAAACAAGATAACAATACCCAAAAACAAAACAAAAAAAAGAAGAAGAAAAAAGGAGAGCAAGAGGGGAGGAATAGAAAGAAAAAACTCCCAGAATATCTTGCCTTAAAAAAAAAGACAGTTTCTTTTTTTAAAAAGTGTCTTATAACTTAAGAGGACAGAAAAAAGCATACAGGGCAGCCACAAGATACAGAAACAACAGAAATAAATAAAATAATAGTTTATTAAAAAAAATAATAAATCTAAATTGATTTTTTTAAAGGAAAAAAAAAGAACAAAAATAGTTTGACAGTAGTACTCTATACTACACGAGATACGAAAAGTGCCCACACAAAAAAAAAAAAAAAAAAAAAAAAAAAAAGCCAAAACCAGTCGGGTGGTGCGCATACAGAAACTCATCAGACAGACAGACAATGAATGACAGACCGACACACACACAAGAACACACAAACAAACAGACACACGGAAGTGGATCTCACCTGGTTTGTCTGAGCCGTGAGAAGAAGGCAAAGGACAGAAAAAAGTCATCATGTTTGCATATATCCCGACAACCCTTCCCTCCCCCCCAACCCCCTCCTCTTCTCTCCTCTGACGTACTCACAAAACCTTGTTCTCACATTTACCAAGTCTACCCAGGACTTTTACCTTAAAAAAATAAAAAAAATTTAAAACCAACTTTTACTTTAAGAAAATATTTTTTATCTTAAGAAAACAACTTCAAACCAACTTTTACTTAAGAAAAAATATTTTTTACCTCAGGAAAACAACTTCAAACCAGCTTTTATTTTAATACAAATTTCTTATCAAGGGTAAAACAATCTCAAAACAAATTTTACTTTAAGAAAGCAATATCAAAAACAACTTTTAGTACTTTTGGAAACACCTTATGTTTTTTTAAGCTTTCCTCTAAAACGATTATTTTTTTAAACCATGCAGGTTTACTGAATAAAAGAAATCACAATACAAGTGCATAGGAACATAGTTCTTTAAATTAAAACACAAATTTCTTAAAATCCAGTCAGAGTTTCACTGAGTTAGTTTTACGGAACAAAATAAATCAAAAGACATATTATCATAAAACAGTCTTTATAACAAAAATCCTTTCAAAAAATTAAAAAACAAAGAAAGAGCAAACGTTCACCCCGTCATATAACAAGAAATAGACTAAGGTAGATAAGATAATTCAAACAATATGTCATCAACAACAATCAAATCTTTTTCCATTTCTAAGAGATTTCAGGGGGGGGGGGGTGTAAGTACTCAATAAGATACACAAATAAAATACCAAATACCAGACTGAAACAGCCAAGACATAATCCAAGGCATTCTCAACACTGTCGCTAGAATCTAGAACTAAAAACCTACAGCTGCACAAAGGAAGGGAATCGAGAATTGTAGAATAACCATAGATAGTAATAGTAATAATAATAATATTCATTTTTTAAAGCAAAAAAATTTCAATAATAATAATAATTTTAACACATAAAAAATAGTGATGATAATGATAATAATAATCATAATCATAATCATAATAGTTTTCATTTTTTAAAAAAAGAATGTAAAAAAAGAAAAGAGAAATCATGCACTAATGAATCTGTCTACTCATGCAGCGGCTGTGACAGAGAGCTGTTGTTCCTTAACACTCAACAGATCAACGTGTCCATCAACGTGATAATATAGTGTTATCAACATGACATACTGTTATCAATGGGACAAAAGTGTAGATCAACGTGATAATGGTGTCCATTAATGTGATAAAGTTTTATCAATGGGACAAAAAGTGTCAAACAAAGTGAAAAAGAGTTAACAAAGTGTCAATCATTGTGATTGATTGAGTGTTGTCGATGGGACCGAAGTGTCGATCAATGTGAATGATTGTGTTATCAAAGACGTCGATCAATGTGAATGATTGTGTTATCAAAGACGTCGACCAATGTGAATGATTGTGTTATCAAAGACGTCGATCAACGTGGATAACACAGTGTTGTCAAAGTGTCCATAAATGTGATAGAGCGATATCAATGCGACAAAGACGTCGATCAATGTGATAGTTTTGTCAATGGGTGAAAATAGTGTTATCAATGGGACAAAAGTGTCGATCAATGGGACAAAGACGTCAACCAGAGTGATAGAGTTATCATTGGGTGAAACAGTGTTACCAATGGGACAAGTGAAACAGTGTTACCAATGGGACAAGTGAAACAGTGTTACCAATGGGACAAGTGAAATAGTGTTACCAATGCAACTAAAATATCGATGAACGAAAGAAGAGAAAGAAACAGACAGACAGAAACAGCAGAGGTAAGAAAAGATAGAGAAAATGAGACGAGGCCAAAAAGTGAGGTCTTCCAAAACCTCTTGGTTGTTTGTACTTTGCAAAGACAACTGCATCATGTATCAGCAACAGGATCCCTCTCACACTCACACCCCCCCCCCCACCCCATTCCTTCCACCCCCCCCTCCCCAAAAGTGCGACAACCAGACGAGAACTGGAGTCAGAACTTACTAGAACCTAGTAGAGGTTTAAAAAATCCCAAAACAATTTTAAAAAACCAACCCAACTGTCTCCACTATGAAATGGGCAATATTACAGTCTGGTTGACATAATAATATGTGTTGTTTCAACATTTTGACAAATTGATCAATATATTGCTATCAGCTGAAGAATTGTTGAAAGGTAAAGAAAAAAAAAAAAAGATTGAAAGGAATTCTTGAAACGTAAGCAGAACATCCCTCCCCCCCCCAAAAAAAAATAAATTTTTTTTTAAAGGTATAGAAGATAAATTCTTCTTAGATCTAGACCTGAAAAAGACACGAGTCTGGCACAATCCAGAGATGGTAATATGAAACATACACAAGTATACAGTGACAGGATGGACAGAAGAAAACAGAAAAAAGAAAAAAGAAAAAAACTAGAAGTAGAGTAGTTAGGAGTTATGGTAGAGAGTTGAAGCAAGAAATTCTATACAAGCCTAGGGGTTTTATGAAAGATAGGAAAGCTGGTTCGGTTTACGAGCTTATATTTCGGGAAGATGAAATTTACTTCTCTCTGTGTGTGTGTGTGTGTGTGTGTGTGTGTGTGTGTGTGTGTGTGTGTGTGTGTGTGTGTGAGTGTGAGTGTTTGTGTGTGCGTGGAGGGAGGGGTGGGGTGCGTATGTGTGTGTGTGCGTGTGTATGTATGTGTATGTGTGTGTGTGTGTGTGTGTGTGTGTGTGTGTGTGTGTGTGTGAGAGAGAGAGAGAGAGAGAGAGAGAGAGAGAGAGAGAGAGAGAGATGGGGTAGTAAAGACACAGAGAGAAAGTGAGAAAGACAGGAAGGACGGTGACAGAAGGAGAGAGAAAGAGAGAAAAAGAGGAAAGACAAAAAAGGAAACGAAAAACCAAGCAACAATAGAAAAAAACCTGTACACATATCATGATCCATTCACAGAATGACGAGACGTAACAATCCTTGACTTGTAAACCTCTGGTCGACCATCGCTGAAAAGTTCAAAACCACCACACAGACACAAACACACAAACAGACACACACAGACACAAACACACACATAAATACACACAGACACACACACAAGACATCTATAAATAGCAACTGACCTTTGAACAGACAAAAACACAAACAAACACAAACACAAATACAGACAAACACGAGACAATCTATAAATAGCCACTGACCTTTGACCAGCACCCTGACCCTGGAAGAGCTGAGGCCTTGACCTAGACTGTTGCTGGGTGTACACATGTAGCTGCCGGCGTCACTTGCCTGGACATTGCTCACCTAAGGAAAAATGGTGAAATGTGAGGTGTGCGGACACAATGAGTTACTTCTCGCAGTTCACTAATGGGGAGATAGGCCAAAAACCAACACAAGGGTCAAATTCGTAGATTTTTGTGTGTCATAATACTATTCTTTATAACATGCCTTTCATTATTTCATACTTATAAATTGTAACAACTTCAACAATAAGCATGATTATTTCCATAAGGCTTGAATCTGAGAAGTAACTCATTTTGACAACACGCTTCACAAATGGTAACGGGTTTTTAGTTTAGTTTCAGTAAGAGTTTTACGGCACTTGCAACACAGTAAGGTCATATATAAGTGCCGAAGATTAGAGGTGTTACAAGAGAGTAACAAACACGACAAAGAAGGAGGGGAGATAGAGACGATAGATTTTTTATAGGAAGAAGGAGAAAAACACACCAGAGCACCCGCCAACCACCGGCGGTAACGGTTTAACGCCCCTATCAACACTATTAGGTAATTTAAGGGGCGGGACCTCCTAGTTTAACGTCCATCTCCGAAAGGACCGAGCCAAGTGGGAAGTTCGTGTAAAGTGTCTTTCCCAAGGGCACAACGTCGGACCGAGCTGAGGCTCGAACCCCCGAACCCGCAACCTCACGATTACGAGTCCGGTAACCCTAACCACTAGACCACCGACGCAACATTACTGACCTGGGAGTGTACATATATGACATGTGACGTAGAAAGTCGTTAAGGACGCAGGTCAGTTTTGAAAAAAAAGTATTAATACTTTTTTTTCTTTGTACAAGTTTTACAGCACTTGTAACACAACAACAACATCAACAACACCACCACAACAACAACAACATCAACAACACCACCACAACAACAACAACATCACCACCCACCCCTAGCGTTCCGTTGTACAGGATGTCGAGGCGACTAGTTCTAGCGATGAGGTTCTGGTCCTTCACACACACACACACACATACACACACACACACACACACCACTCACACACACACACGCACACCACTCACACACAAACACACACATACACACACACACACACCACTCACACACACACATACACACACACACACCACTCACACACACACACACACACGCACACCACTCACACACAAACACACACATACACACACACACACACCACTCACACACACACATACACACACACACACCACTCACACACACACACACACACGCACACCACTCACACACAAACACACACATACACA